AAAAAAAAAAAAAAAAAAAAAAAGAGATGAATCAAAGAGGCATTTTAATGTGAACAAAGAGTTACTACTCCCCCTACATGATGTCCAGTGAGAATATCTTCTCCATGTCTAACCTGAACACAGGTACAATGTAAGTCTTTTTCAGCATCAAACATCTTTGCCTGTGATTAGCCCAAAAGCAAAACTGGGCAACCAGACTGAGTAGGAGTTCATATCCAGAGACTAGAACCCTGGCCCAACAAAGTGAGTCAAAGAGAGTCAGACCAAATCTTCTCAGGGATTAGAATTTTTTTTTTTTTTCCTTGAGACTGAGTCTTACTTTGTCACCTTTAGTAGAGTGCCATCGAGTCTTACCCCACAGCAACCTCAAACTCTTGGGTTCAAGCAATCCTCTTGCCTCAGCCTCCCAGGTACCTAGGACTACAGGTGCCCACCACAACGCCCAGCTGTTTTTTAGAGAATGGGGTCTCGTTCTTGCTCAGACTGATCTTGAAGTTATGAGTTCAGGCAATCCACCCACCTTGGCCTCCCCAGCGCTGGGATTACAGGTGTAAGCTACTGCACCCAGCCCAGGGATTAGAATTTATCAGAACAAGTGCTAAGCTCACTTTGGCAGCACATATACAAAACTTGAAACAATACAAAGACAGTTAGCATGGCCCCTGTGCAAGGATGACACATAAATCTGTGAAGCATTATGTATTTTTAAAAAATAATTTACAAAAAGAATGAGTGTTGCAGGAAGGTACTGATTTGATGTGAAGGTATTTGAAGTGAACCAAGGTCCTTTTTTATCTTTACTTTTTGTAGAAACGAGGTCTCTGTGTTGCTCAGGCTAGGCTCAAACTCCCAGCCTCAACCTCCCAAAGTGCTGGAATTACAGGTATAAGTCACCACATTCAGCCCTGAATCAAGATCCTTATATGCAAAGACTACAGAGGTCAAAAATCAAAGTACTTTATGTAAGAGGTGTCCAACCTTTTTTCTTTCCTGCCCTATACTGGAAGAAGTAAGAATTGTCCTAAGCCACACATTAAATACACAAACATTAATGATAAAAGCTCATTAACAAAAGAAAAGATCGGCTCGGCGCCTATAGCTCAACCGGCTAAGGCGCCAGCCACGTACACCTAAGGTGGCGGGTTCGAATCCCCAGCCCGGACCCGCCAAACAACAATGACGGCTGCAACCAAAAAATAGCCGGGCGTTGTGGCGGGCGCCTGTGGTCCCAGCTACGTGGGAGGCGGAGGCAGGAGACTCGCTTGAGCCCAGGAGTTGGAGGTTGCTGTGAGCTGTAATGCCACGGCACTCTACCCAGGGGGACAGCTTGAGGCTCTGTCTCAAAAAAAAAAAAAAAAAAAAAAAAAAAAGAAAAGATCTATGATACTTTTCATATCTGACACCACGGATAAGCAAAACAGTTCTCAAATAATCTCCATATGGCCCCTGGGCCCACAGGTTCAATATTTTACAGTATCTCTGGCTGATCTTCTTGAGATAATTAAGTTTTGTTTTGTTTTGTTTTTTTTTTTTTGAGACAGAGCCTCAAGCTGTCGCCCTGTGAGCATCACGCTCACAGCAACCTCTAATGCCTGGACTCAAGCGAGTCTCCTGCCTCCGCCTCTCAAGTAGCTGGGACTACAGGTGCCCGCCACCATGCCTGGCTATTTTTTGGTTGCAGCCATCATTGTTTGGCGGGCCCGGGCTAGATTTGAACCCGCCACCTTAAGTGTATATGTGGCTGGCGCCTTAGCCACTTGAGCCATAGGCGCCAAGCCACCTTCCGGTTTTTTTAAGTGCCTCAACTTAAAAACCTCAACCTCCCAAGTAACTGAGACCACAGGTGCCCACCACAACACCTGTCTATTTTCTGGTTGTAGGTGTCATTGTTGCTTGGCAGGCCCAGACTGGATTCGAACCCACCAGCTCTGGTGTATGTGGCTGTGGCGCCTTGGCTGCTTGAGCTACAGGCGCTGAGCTGAGACAATTAAGTTTTATACAGAAATGACTACTCTGAACTGAGCCTAATCAAGAACCACATACTTGTAGTAGCCCTGGGGTCCCTGAAACATCCTAAGAACTAGGATATATGGCCCAGGGATGAAAACAACACAGACCCAGAAAGCCAGCTGGCCCTGATCCAACCATTCCAATAAAAGATAACTATCCACAAGCTTGAGCCTTTAGGCACCTTGAGCAGTACTAGATTATGATAACATAAAGAACTTGGAGGGGGGGGGGCGCCTGTGGCTCAAGGAGTAGGGCACCAGCCCCATATAGCAGAGGTTGTGGGTTCAAACTCAGCCCTGGCCAAAAACTGCAAAAATAAATAAATTGTTTAAAAAAAAAAAAAAAAAACCTGGGGGGGGGGTCCAAGGGGAGCACACAGTGGCTTACGCCTATAATCCTAGCACTTTAGAGGCTGAGGTAGGAGGACTGCTTGAGGTTAGGAGTTTGAAACCAGCCTGAGCAAGAGCTAGATCCCATCTGTACAAAAAAATAGAAAAATTATCCAGGTGGTATGTAACTATAGTGCCAGCTACTTGGGAGGTTAAGATAGGAGGATGGCTTAAGCCCAGAAATTTGAAGTTGCAGTGAGCTATGATGATAACACTGCCTTCTAGCTGGAGAAACAAAGTGAGACCATGTTGTCAGAAAAAAAACAAATAGGGCAGCACCTGTGGTTCAGTGGGTGGGGCACCAGCCCCATATACCAAGGGTGGTAGGTTCAAACCCAGCCCCGGCTGAATTGCAACAAAAAATAGCTGGGGAGTTTGATGAAAATATTTCAAATTGTATATAAAACCAGCACATTGTACCCCATGATTGCATTAATGTACACAGCTATGATTTAATAAAAAAAAAAAAAAATAGCTGGGTGTTGTGGCAGGCGCCTGTAGTCCCAGCTACTCAGGAGGCGGAGGCAAGAGAATCACCTAAGCCCAGGAGTTGGAGGTTGCTGTGAGCTGTGATGCCGGGGCACTCCACCGAGGACGATAAAGTGAGACTCTGACTAACTCCAGGGGGCACTAAACCTCCAGTTACTTGCTCCAAAGACTTACTGGTATGTGGTCCCCTTGGCCAGAATGAATCAACCTAAAACCCCATCACAAGCACAGGAAACATCTATTCAAGGCTAATTTAAGGAATCCTAAGTAGATGAGTTCATGGGTCTGTTTTTCAAAAAACTGGTGGAGATTAAAATCCAAACCAGGACTTACTGGGAAATCCAAGGCAGCACTAAGAGTCTTACTTTGTCACCCAGGATAGAGAGCCATGGCATCCTAGCTCACAGCAACCTCAAAGGGCTTGAGTGATCTTCTTGCCTCAGCCTCCCAAATAGCTGGAACTACAGGTGCCCACCATACCTGGCTATTTTTAGAGACAGGATCTTGCTCTTGGTTCAGGCTGCTCTCGAACTCCTGAGCTAAAGTGATCTACCACCCTTGGCCTCCAGGAGTGAAGGATTACAGGCATGAGCCACTGCACCCAGCCTCCAGGGCACCATTTAAAGGAGAGTGAGAAGACTGGGCTCCAACTGCCTCTTGGTTTGTTCTGCATCACCCTTTCAGAAGACTCAAGGCTCAGATTAGTTTTCCTTATTCTAGTTTAATTTCAACGATTCCTTCCCTAATTGGAAGCAATATGATAAGATGAAAGAACACAGGACCTGAAGAGGGTATCACTTGGAAATTCTGGGTCTCAGATCCTTCTCTGTAAAATGAGGATAATAAGTGAGGATTATATAAGCCGGTGGGCAGAAAGATGTGGAACACAGTGACTAGCACAATACCCAAAAAAATCAGCCTCCTGATGCAGCTTCAAACCACTGAGCCCCACAGCCCAGGCCACAGGAGGAGATTATAAAAGTAAGAAACACTAGAGTCCAAGAAACAGTAGGCACACAAATATTCAAGTTTCAAAGACCTTTTGATCCAACTGTCAAGTGGTCACTACAATGTTGAGGCCTACCTGAAATGCAAGGTTTGGCAATCTCAAAAAGTACTGTCCCCGTCTCCAAATCTCGAATTTTAAAGCGGGTAAAATCAATATTATAGATGTTGTCTTCAGGCTTACATAAATAATCTGAAAATGAGAGAGAAACCAATACTGTTAATCCTCCAAACTACCACTTACTTAATTCTCAAGTTTTGAAGTGAACTGAGGTGTTTTTTTTTTAACCTACACTTCACTAAAAATACCCCCTCAAAATTTCCTCTTCTGTTTTCGTAAACAAAAGTTATGTGTTATCCCCCCAGCACTAGGGGATCTAAGAAAGAAAAAAATAGAATAAGGACTTGGCCTGAATGAAAGACTATCATAAAACTTTTAGAAATGGGAATAGAAAAAAAGGTATTTCTTTGAAAACACCTACAAATCTGGCTCAGCACCCGTAGCGTAGTTGTTTATGGCACCAGCCACATACACCAGGGGTAGTGGGTTTGAACCTGGCCCAGGCCAGCTAAACAACTGCAACAAAAAAAAATATCTGGGCATTGTGGCAGGCACCTGTAGTCCCAACTACTTGGAAGGCTAAGGCAGGAGAATCACTTGGGTCCAAGAGTTAGAGGTTGCTGTGAGCTGTGATGCCACAGCACTCTACCGAGGGTGACAAGGTAAGACTCTGTCTCAAAAAAAAACAAAAGAAAACACCTACAAATCATTATCTATCAACTTGGATGTCAAAACAGGTTAGAATTTTTAATAGATATCCATTTAAAACATTTAAACTGATCTAACAGATAATATAGTGCTCATTTGCCAACCATCAGTGTTATGAAAGTAGGATCAGCAAACTTTTCTGTAAAAGCCAGATTATAAAACATACAGGCATGGTCTCTATCACAATGACTTAACTCAGTCATTATAGCACAAAAGCATCCACAGACAACTTGCAAATGAATATAGGATATATTCCAATAAAACTGTATTTATGGACACTGAAATACGAAATTTATGTAACATGTCACAAAAGTTTAAAAAAAACTTCAATCACCTTAAAAAATGTAAAAAAATTCTTACTTTGTGGGCCATACAAAATCACACAGTAGACTACATACACACAGAAACAGGATAAATTTGCCAGTGAGTGCATTAGGCCAAAGTGAGTAAAGCCCACAACCTGAGCAGCTAATCAAAATAGTACCACTCACAGGAAATTTCATGGATTTCTTTTTACAATGACTGTTGAGAGCATCTTCTCTACCACTCATTTTGACACTCTATTGCTTGTGCTATTTTTTTTTTTTTTTTTTTTTTAAAACAGAGCCTCAAGCTGTCCCCCTGGGTAGAGTGCCGTGGCATTACAGCTCACAGCAACCTCCAACTCCTGGGCTCAAGCGAGTCTCCTGCCTCCGCCTCCCAAGTAGCTGGGACCACAGGCGCCCGCCACAACGCCTGGCTATTTTTTGGTTGCAGCTGTCATTGTTGTTTGGCGGGTCCGGGCTGGGGATTCGAACCCGCCACCTTAGGTGTACGTGGCTGGCGCCTTAGCCGGTTGAGCCATAGGCGCCGAGCCTATTGCTTGTGCTATTTCATGTTTTACAAGCTGTCTCTCCCGTGAGATAGCAAACTTGAGAACTACTGATTATAACTCCAAAAAAAGGTTGACATTGGTTGTCCAATACAAATGTCCAGTACAAAAGGTACTCAGTACAAATCCTGTTGAACAGAGCAAATAAGGAAAGAAGTTAAAAAGAATAACAAAGAGGCTGCCAAGCTGCTACCTGTGACTTTCTCCAAGAAGCTGCAAAGATGGGTTTGGGTAATGGCACTAATCCCAATCCCCCACTGAGAATGCTGTTTAGGGCCAGGCATTAGAATAATCTAACTCACCTTTGATACTAGGAGAGAGCATGTGATTACAGAGGTCAGGTGCTGAGCATTTCTCTATTTTCAGAGCCCCAAATGAAAACTGAATCAGAATAGAAGCAGTTTTTTCACAATGCTTCAATAAATCTGAATAGCAAGGCTGTCTAAAGATACACTCAGACATGCAAAAGGCAGTCCCAACCCAAGTGGTGATGAAAAATGAAGACATCAAAATACCCGTAATCAAATTCCCCTATTTTAAGATATGGGAATTCCCTTTCACATGGTCTATCAGGCATCCTCAAACTATGGCCCATGGGCCACATGCAGCCCGCCTAGGACACTTATCCAGCCCACCGCGTGTTTTTGCCACTGCTGCCTGTCCTGCTTAGCAGTCGACTAGTCCTGGGGCCCGCAGTCCAGGCCTCCAACAGTCTGAGGGACAGTGAACTGGCCCCCTGTTTAAAAAGTTTGAGGACCCCTGGTCTAGATCAAGACCCATCTCTCCCAGGCCGGGCACAATGGCTCACAACTGTAATCCCAGCACTCTGCGAGGCCAAGGCAGGTGGATCGCCTGAGCTCACAGGTTCAAGACCAGCCTATGCCAGAGCCAGACCCCTGTTTTTAAAATTAGCCAGGCAGGGATGGCGCCTGTGGCTCAAAGGAGTAGGGCGCCAGCCCCAAATAGCAGAAGTGGTGGTTTCAAACCTGGCCCTGGCAAAAAATAAATAAATAAATAAAATTAAAATAGCCAGGCATTGCATGGGCACCTGTAGTCCCAGCTACTCCGGAGACTGAGGCAAGAGAATCATTTGAGCCCAAGAGTCAGAGGTTGCTGTGAGTTTTGATGCCACAGCACTCTATTAAGGGTGACAAAGTGAGACTGTGTCTCAAAAGAAGAAAAAAAGACCCACCTCTCCCAAACTCCTATCCCCAAATTACTGGAGATGCCACCCGCAACCTGAAGTACTCCTGAGCAACCCTGGGCTGACTACTAAAGCTAAGCCAAGGACAACACCATGGTAGCTTTCCATCCATCAAGGGGTTGCAGTTTTTGCTGTCGCTGCTGCTGCTATAGGACTTCAAGACCTAGAAGGCCAGGTGACTGCAAACTCTTGGAGGGAAAACAGCAGCAAGAGAAGGAGTAACAAGTCAGGGATGGGTTTGGCAGAGAAGACAGAAAGGAAGTTCATCCTGGACAGGGAGTGGGCCATATATATTTTTTTCCACCCCTCCTATATCAGTGAAAAAGCTTAGGACGGTTGGCCAGGAAATATACTTCTTAATCCCTGCCCATAATTCTTAATTCACCAAAACAAATATCAAAAGCAGGATCCACATGTTGAAGTTTGTACAGAAACTGGAACTTTATTAATATTTTTATATGTGGCAAAGTTTTAAATTTGCACGAAATGCCATGGCCAGGTATTTTGAGGACGAGCCCACCTGCACACAAAGGGGCAACGCCTGGAACCAAAACAGGGAAGGGGACCAGGCAGGCTGGAATGGGGGAGGGGCTGTCAGGGGCCGGAAGGAGGGAAACGCCAAGAAAGCAGGTAGGGATTCTGGCCTGGCAGAGGGCCGCGGTTAGACCGGTTGGGTTGAGCGGGAACTTCACTGACGGCTGGGGGGGTTCCAAGCTGAGGAGTCAGGGGCTCACTTATATTAGGAGTCCACGGCCAGCGGCTGGCTCGGAAGGATTTGGTTCAGTTGAACCGGCCCCCGCTACCCAACCAGGTCCAGCAGTGGTGGGAAACAGCCCGGCCTGAGGGGTCCCGCTGGGGCTGGCCAAGGGAAGGGGGAAAAGCCCCTTCCCCACCAGGTTAGGTGAGGGTAGCAAGGGCAGACCCGAGCTGGCGAACCAGTGGGAAGCGCGGCCTGGATGGCCACGGGGCCCCGGGTGGACCCCCGCGCCGGTCGATCGGCGAGGTCTGCTGAAGGCCACGGGGAGCAGGGGCCCAGCGCGAGGGGAGGGCGCTGCCCGCCCGGCACTCACTCTCGGTGACCCGGCTGAGGCGCAGGACGTGCTCGGGCCGGATGGCGTCCAGCGCCAGCAGCTCCTGCTCCGTGACCGCTGCCCCGATGCCGTCGTCGGTCGCGTTGTGGGGCGCCTGCCGCCGCGCCTTGAGCCGGTTCAGGACGCCGCCGCCTGCCTTCTTTTTCTCCTCCTTGCCAGCCACCAGCCGTCCGGGCCCAGCCGCAGACCCCGCGGCCGCTGCCTTCGGATTCGACCAGTTCATCGCTCCGCCGCCAAGATGGCCGCCGCCTCCACAGCGCCGTAACTATGGAGAGAGGGGCGGGGCCCGGACTGAACTGGGGGCGGGGCCGGAGGGCCGGGACGCAGCGGCTGGCTCTAGCACCTACTTTGGTCCAGCCAGGTGGTGGTGGGCCAAGGCGAGGCTGGGGTTAGGGATCTTAGTACCTCCACACTCTCCGTCGGGCCCCCAAAGTCACCCCCCAACGGTTTTTAAATACTTATAATGGCCAAATAAATTTCTATCATATACACTGTGGATAGTGCATCTTGAGAAAATGTTTATTAAGATCTTTAGCATAAAAGGCAGGTTTGTTTGTTTTTTGAGACAGAGCCTCAAGCTATCTCCCTCACAGCAACCTCCAACTCCTGGGCTCAAGCAAGTCTCCTGCCTCAGTCTCCCAAGTAGCTAGGGCCACAGGCACCCGCCACAACGCTCGGCCATTTTTTGGTTGCAGCCGGTCTGGATTTAAACCCGCAACCTCAGGTGTACGTGGCTGGCGCCTTAGCCACTTGAGCCACAGGCGCTGAGCCTAGAAGGCAGGTTTTTAAAAAGTGCTTTCTGCGTAAAGGCAGCTTCAAAAAAAATATGTGCAGGGCGGCGCCCGTGGTTCAGTGGGTAGGTCGCCAACCACATACACCCAGGCTGGTAGGTTCAAACCTAGTCTGGGCCAGCTAGAGCAACAATGACAACTGCAACAACAACAACAACAACAACAAAAAGCCAGGTACTGTGGGGGGGCACCTGTAGTCCCAGCTACCTGGGAGGCTGAGGCAAGAGAAGCGTTTATGCCCAAGAGTTTGAGGTTGCTGTAATGTCACAGCACTCTACCTAGGGCAACAGTTTGAAACTCTGTCTCAAAAAATAAAGAAAATAAAATAAAATAAATGTGCAAAGGCTCGGCGCCCATAACTCAGTGGTTAGGGTGCTGGCCACAGACACCAAGGCAGGCGGGTGCGAACCTGGCCAAGGCCTACTAAACAATGACAACTGCAACAGCAACAACAACAACCAAAAAAAAAATAGCTGGGCGTTGTGGCACGTGCCTGTAGTCCAGCTATTTCGGAGGCTGAGGCAAGAGAGTCCCGTAAGCCCAAGAGTTTGAGGTTGCTGTGAGCTGTGACACTATGGCACTCTACCAAAGCCGGCATAGTGAGACTCTGTCTTTAAAAAAAAAAATAAAAGCAAAGAATTAAAGTTTTTCCTTTTGCAACAACTCTTTTAGACCACTCAACAGTTAGTAGTTACTAAAGAATTTCAAGAACTTGTAATATGTTACCTGAATGCGAATTGCCAAGAGAGTGGTTTAGCATGCAGCCATTTCCCAGCTACTTGCTCACTAAATTTTTGTTCTCAAAGAACCAGGACTAGTTACTTAGACCATGGATTTTTACTTTCTAGAGATGATGGCAAATGTAACTCCTTTATCTGCAATTCCACATCCAGAAATTTAACCTACATGTATGCACAAAGATGTTTACTGCAGGACCATTTGTAACACTAATATATTACAATAAATTATAGTTCTATTCATTCATGTTAGACAGCTGGTAAAAATAATGAGATGATATACATATATACACTAGTACAGAAAGATTGCAAAAATATCAAGTGGAAGAAAACACACTTCATTTAGAATAGAAAGTATATAAATAAACAGAAGTGTATTTATAACCGAAGGAAGAGGTCTGGTTACACACTAAAATGTTAAATGTTTGTTTTCCTCTCTAGAAAGAAGAAAATCAGAAGAGACTAAAGGGAATATATCAATTCACTTTGACACTATATAGAGATATTTCTATATCATTTTATCAGAAGCACACAACCACAGGCTTCTCGTATACTTTTTGAAAAAGAAAATGTTAGAATCTGTGTCTCAAAGGCAGATTCTACGCTGCACTGCCCTTATTTTCCCTTAAAACTTAAAAAAAATAAAAAACCTCAAGCTTCATCAATGTTTGTTTTAAAATAATTTTTTTTTTGGAGACAGAGTCTCACTTTGTCACCCTCAGTAGGGTGCTATGGCATCACAGCTCACAGCAACCTTCAGCTCTTGGGCTTAGGCAATTCTCTTGCCTCAGCCTCCCAAGTAGCTGGGACCACAGGCACCAGCCACAACGCC